ACGTGTACCCCCTGGCCCCGAGCTCGGCGTTGCCATGGCGACAAAACGTCTGAGCTCGATCCCAGGGCAGTGTGAGGTCACTCCTAGTTCTGACTGCAGTTCGGACTACACAATGCAACAGTTATGAAGAGTGAACAACCGTTAGTTTTGAACGAACGCTTGGAGTTTTTCTGACGGCATTTTGGTGACCAATACCTGACCCTGTTACGGGATACGAGGCCACCTATGCGAGCAGTTCTATATCGGGAAAATAGGGTACCGACCAACCGTGTATACCAACCCAGTACTGTGCAATACGGTAAGTCTTATACTGTGTCTGTAAGTGAATACTATCATTTAAATGACAAACATGTGAGTTGTGGAGTCTGGATCAAAAGGGAAATTTTTCCAGCATATCTGCAAAGAAGTTAGTCGCAAAACGCTTAACCAGGAAATACCAAATGTTAGCATTCGATCTCTGCATTTTCGCGCAGTTGGATATAAATTGTATCTATTATCCAAGCAGAGGTTTAGGTTTCGGAATATTTTTGACGTGTTTTTACTCAGGTTTTTTTATCTGGTTTTGAATTCTGTACTGGTATATTTTTACGCCAGCCAAAAGACAAACGTATTGAATCCTGCATGGCCAATTTGATATTACTGATACTAAGTTGCAGGCACCAAAAGATTTGTTTAGACATTAAGATATATCTAGGTCATATTGAGTCTATACTATATAGAGCGTGTCATACCCAATTATAACGGTCCATAACTAACTACTATCAGGTGTAGATAGTCCAATATTCTAAAAACGACAATGAATAATAAGCCTAATATTTTCGCAAATATGATGTGGGACAACATTTGGTGAAAGTTGTTTATGTAGTTTTTATAACATAACGTTGTTTGTAAGCAAGGGATGTTTCTGTTTTGTGTGCAGGAAAAAATTAATTTTGATATTTCTTTAATCCTTTGAAACTTGCCGTCGGTAGTTCTGAATATTCCACCGGAAGCTGACGCTATAATATACCAGGCCCGTATCGGTGTCGACTGGTCGGTAATAAGTGTAATTTTCTGGATGATAAACAACAGATGTTGGCTGTCGACTCACGTACGAAAGGCACATTTTCCTAATCTCCGAGGCAGTATAAGATGGAACAGGCGGTTAATGACAGTACCATTTGCTAACCAAATTTAAAGGGCTGTGGGTCGTGTGGCGTAGCGGCAGAGTGCGCGACTCGGAACTAAGAGTCCCAGGTTCGAGTCCTGACATGCCATCGATCTTGTGCCCTTGGGAAAGGCACTTTACACGACTTTCCTCACTTAGCTCAGGTGTAAATGAGTATTGTCCTGTAATGTATTTGTCCCCTGTGTTGGTGGCGGCATTAATATAAGTTGAAGAAACTTCAGTGTGTCGTCACCACGTCTGGTGATTACATGTTGTAATAAATAAAAAAAAATTAAAGGGCTGGCGCAGGGCTCGAAATTAAAGGTGGTCCAATGGCTACTGACCACTAATTTAGACTGGGACAACTAAAAAGACATTTTTGGGACAATAGAAAAATAATCAACATCAGGATATCAGCCCTTCTTTTGTTTATCAGTCCCCCGAATTTCCTGTCTACTCTGTAATTATAGCTCGCCTGGTAGTCAGAACGTAAGCAACATAAAGATGACTTCAAGTTGAAAAAAAAAAAAACAGATTGGGGCAGTTCATTATCACTTCGGGATATTGGATTTTTTTCCGGACAGTGCTGGGACAATAGGAAGAAAATTTAATTTCGAGGCTTGTAGCGCAAAAAAAAAGATACTGGTACACAAAACGCATAGAAACACGCCAAAAGTAAGCCAAAGCAAATTTAAAGCCCAAACCTGATCTGCTAGGAGAGAATGTTTTCTTTTTGTTTGACATATTCCAACACATGGCTAGCTCTGTGGTGTAAACTAGCGCTGTGATATATAGGAACAGCTGGAAAAATGCCAACACCGGGTCCGAGTGCAGATGTTGCTTCATTTTTCAGTACAATCGAAAATAGCAGACTTAACTGGCACAAAATCCTTGTAACATTAAAGGCACTCAAAGCGATTTCAGGACAGTAAACCTGGATTTTCAAAGTCAATGTTCTGGTGGCGATTACTAGATAGTATAAAGTTGAATCAACCCTATCCCATAGCATACTGATATCTGTGAGGCAAAAATGTGATGTCGCTGAAAAAAAAAACAGTTGCTTGATTCGTATTGAAGACTGGTTCTAGCTATTTATTGGTGGTACCAAAAATAAAAGGACTCCTCACGTAGCTTATTTTGCGGCTATTTCAAACACTTCAAGTATGAAATTATGATTAAAATGTGCTAAGAAATGGCAGTAAATTATGAATATCAGGCAGATTTCCTCGTCTAGAATATTTTTGCTTTGCTGAATATACATTGGATGTCTTTAACACAACAGCAAAACCTGACCGTAGTTTGCAGATGATATATGTACAAGGAACACATGCTTCCTTTCATCAAAGTACATGCACACATCGCCTTCCTTAGAACTTCCGGAGGCCGGAGAAATACGTGATCAGAATTTTTTATCAGGTTCACGAAGCCCCAAGATCAAATTGAATACAAACGGGATCTGGGACACTACGTCCCTAAAATTGTAAGGGTTGTGTAGCAGTTTTTTGGAGGTTGTAGCGAGGTGTTAGTCAATATATGAGTCAGTTTGTGTCCATCTGTGTAAACGTTCTGTGAATAGGCAAGTGTTCGTAACTGTGTTTGCTTCGCCTCCAGTAAACTGGTGTGAATGATGACAGAACTGCCCCTGAAAAATTCTAACGTTGCAACCTTTAAGCAACCTTAAAGGTTTTACAAACTCAATTGTATGTTATGAGAAAGGATATTTGAATTACAGTTACCAACCCAAGGATTTTGACTTTCGACTGCACCACACCAGTTTTTGCGCTAGCAACAATTCATATTATGTTACCACTATGTAGGTTTACTTTCATTGTCTATTTGTGGAAGGAAGTTAGGTCAAAGGTCCCAGAAAAGGTTATCTCATTTCCCGTCTTCAATTTCCTGCTATACGTATGCCTGTTGCATTATGGGAGAAAGTAGGAAGCCTGAGGCTATTGACAGGATCGTCCTGTCAATAGCAGAAAATATTGCACTGCTGACAGGACGATCCTGTCAATAGCAGAAAATACTGCACTGCTGACAGGACGATCCTGTCAATAGCAGAAAATACTGCACTGCTGACAGGACGATCCTGTCAATAACAGGAAATACTGCACTGCTGACAGGATCGTCCTGTCAGCAGTGCCATTTTTGACACTAT